GCCTAAGGCCAGAGCGCAGGCTTTTACATTCAGCTGTTAATGGCGCTTTGATATGTTTACTAAGGCTCGTAGTTAGCATGCTGTCGTTGAATACGCAGCACGACTAAAGGAATTGGGATACGCTGTCCATTAGTAACGGCTTTAAACCCAGCTATAGATGTGCGACACATGACATTATCAACTGACTACCCTCTCAGCCAACGTTACGAAATTCACTTTATCCTTCCTCCAGAGGCAAACACCAATTCTTCAAGCCTCTTTCTCGGACAAGCTCGGCAATACTGGTTTTTTCGATACCAGTTAGCATACAAAAATTACAAATAACTTGCTTCCAATTCAATTGCAGAAGGATTGAATCTGCTTTGACTAACTGCAACAATATCACTCAGAAAACATACAACATAGCCACGTACATTAATTACAGGGGGTTTGCAGGCAGTAGTCTCTCTCCGGACCGGAGCCCTCACCAGGCCAGACTTTCCTTGCAACATCAGCAAGACTCGTCCGCGGCCAGAGCAGAACGCTGTGGAGTACAAATATCTCCTCAAAACTCGCCGTGCTCACATTAAAGTCGTTCCACGTAACGTTCTCGGAAAAGCCAAAAAAGTAATAATCGTATGGCATGATAAATTCTTTCTGGTTGAGACCGAAGTAAAAGGTTATGTTAGGGAGGACAGGAAACTCCATCACTCTGTGTGCGATTGGGCTGAAAAAATCCTCATCCTCCGAAATGGTATTGTTGTTGGCCTTCAGGTTGAGGTAGGTCAATCCAACTGCCATTCCGATGGCCATGGCCACAGACACGCTGATATTCTGCAATGTTCGCATGGAAACGCAGCGAAGGTGATTTTGGCTGGCAATAAACACTCAGTGGTATATGTTTAAGTAAAGAACACCTCCCTGACAGGACGTTGCTACGTAAAGTAGTTTTGGCCAGAAATAGGGGGTATGAAAGCAACAATGAAGGGAAACCGAGAGTATGGCAAGTTTTGCGTCAGGATACGTGTGCATACCTGTTCACACTAAAGGACAGTTCTACCAATTAAACTTAGCTTGAGGCTTTTCAGCTTAGCTGTGCTGCCAATACCGTGAAACATTTTAAATTGGAAGCAGTATAAAAACTGTAATGACATATTATGCAGAGTTATCCTCAATTTATGTTTTTTATTTTTTCTTCTTCATATTTGCAGAATAGTTATAAATATAATTAATATAATGAAAAGTCTTATCCCGCAATATATTTCTAGTCTTGGATTTTTTGTTTTTTCGGCGTGCCGTTCATTTTCTAATATTTTTCTGCATATCAAAAACCCCTTTCCCACTGTTGATGAGAAAGTAGTTTAATGTCCGTGGAAACGTCAACAAATTCATCATATTTAGGTTACTGTGGTCAGGCCTGATTTAGAGTTTTGGAAATGGATTAAAGAAGCAGAATA